AGACTAACATCCTTCAAAAGCAATTTAAAAATGTGAACCTATTTTTGTAAAATTTATCACATAACAGCCTCAAATCACACTCACATCAAAATTTTTTTTTTTTTTTGCTAATATTTCAACTATCTGTTTGGCAATACTCATTATCACACACCAACAGGTATCTCCTATGTGGTTTATGAGTGGTATCCTCAGCTACTTGCGCTCGTCTTGTTACGTGAAGTGATAATTTAACAACCTCAGCTTGCTTATTAATGTCTCTCCTAAAATGACACCCAGTTCATCTAGTCTCCCTGATTTTTTTTATGAATGGATTTACGGCTTGGTTCTTTCTGCAGCTGAATAAGCACCTGACAGAAACACTTAACTGAGCATTCACGTACATGTTCTGAAGTGGTCAGTGAAATCTTGAGGACAGACTCTAAGAGCTTGAAATAGCCAAGAACTAGTCAGAAACAAAACAAAGCTTGAATACCCCCATACACCACAACAGACCTCATAGTAAATAAATCTTCACAGTGCCAGCTAAATGGAAGCAAATGAGACAGCAATCTTCTTCTGAGACCACCTAAATTTAATATAGATTTGGAATGAGGCTTAGGGTGACTTACAGCGCTTGCTTTGCAACGATTCAGAAAAAGGATTTGAAAGAAGCCTAAGTAAGTCTGTGGCTACACTAAACTGGGAGGAGCTGCTGACTCCCTCAAGGGCAGACAGGCCCTGCAGAGAGACCTTGACAAATCGGTGAGATGGGCAACCATCCACCATAGGAGGTTTAACAAGGTCAAGTGCTGGATTCTGCACCAGGGATGGAGTAACCCTGGTTTTGTCTGTAGATGAGGAAAAAAGGAGGTGGAGAGCAGCAGTGCAGAAAGGGACCTGGGGGTTCCGGACAACAGCAAATTGAACAAGAGTCATTAAGCTATTAGAAAGCATCCAAAGGAGGGCCACAGGGATGGTGAAAGGTCCTGATGGGAAGCCACATGGGGAGCAACTGAGATCTGCTTGGTCTGTTCAGCCTGGAGGAGACTGAGGGGAGACCTCATTGCCGTCTTATATCTCCCTTATGAAGGAGCTGCAGGTACAGATCTCTTCACTCTCATGACCAGTGACAGGACTCGAGGAAGTGGCATGAAGCTGTATCGAAGAAGGTTTAGGTTTGATATCAGCAAAAAGGTTTTCCTTGCCTAGGAACAGGTTCCCTAGGTAAGTGGTCACAGCACCAAGCCTGACAGAGTTCAGGAAGAATTTGGACAACACACTCAGGCACACGGTGTGACTCTTGGAGTGTCCTGCACAGGGCCAGGAGTTGGACTCGATGATCCTGATGGGTCCCTTCCAACACAGCTTTCATGATCCAATGACTAAGATCTACTGAATTTACCTCTTCCCAAACAAAACTATACACATACATGACTTTTATGATTACAGATATGTCTTACCTTAAATATATCTATTTTGAAGCTATAAATTCAGGTATTTACGTGGTTGCAAAAATCTTAACAAGATTAAGATTAGCAACAGGAATGACAATTCAAGAAGTGACAATTCAGCTAAGAGCAAAATAAATTTTCATTATGATTTCACTCTAAACAACAGGCCTTGCAATTTTTCAGTTTTTTTCTATTTTTACAAAGAGCATTTACAAAAGTACTAGTTAGCAGACCATACTGCCTGAGAATAGAATGTGACTTTGTTTCACACTTGAGCATTACCTAGTGAATTAAAACCTATTGTTTTTATGTAAAAGCAGCAATATTATGAGACTCCCTTAGAGCTACAAATACTGGTGTATCAGATAATATCTATTCTCTTGTACAATAAAGCATGAATTCAACACTGCTTTTATTGTATTACCACCATGGCAGTGTTGCAGCATTTCTGAAATTATACTTTTGTCCACATCACAATGTCAACAGACATGCCAGTCTGCTTAAACAGCTAAAACTGAATGAAATGGCTCAACCAGCTCACTTTACCTTTTGCTACTGTAATCAGAATTTTACTCTTTATTTCACAAAATAGCAGAATATAGCAGGCAGATCTTTTGGCTTAAACAAAATCAAATTCCTCGTCTTTCAAGCTCTCACTATGCAAAGATGTAGGACATCAAGACAGAATTTGCATAGCCTTACCAAATACAAGATTTCTTCCTCAAAAGACATAAAGAAGTTGTCAAATGTTATTGCCAGCACAGTCTATTCTAGAAGCTGATCCTTCCATTACTCTTAATTAAAAGTCTGGCTTTTTCTTCTCCCAACCACAAGCCATTTTCATTTTATAGATTGTACCAGTAAACCTTTACAAGTTAATTGTTAAGTCCTGGATTACATAAAAACCTTCAAAGGTAACACTGGCAATCCCTGTCATTCTCACACTTCACTGAGTGCAGAAGATGGGGCAGCAAACACAGGTGGGCGCCTTCAGGACCACTGTCCTTAGCTGCTGGTGGACATAAGGATGCAGCAGTGCCAAATGTTTGACTTTCTGAACGTCTGCATAAGCCACTGCCACATTCCAATCAAACCCCCTTCACTCAGCAGGTGACATTTGGAGTCTGTTCTGACCCTGACTCCCAATTACCTGCACAGCTTGGGCACACAGCTATAAACACACTAAGAGTCGTGCAAAGTTAATCATGCTGGAGGTGGAGCAGCCAATACAGCCACAATAGGTTGCTGCCATGGAGGAAACAAGGCAACTGAGCACCTTTCCTGGAGGCAAGGCACACACATTAAACCCAATGAGAAAGGGTTGCTCCCACCCAGACCAACTCAAGTGAAGAAAAGCATCACACTGCCTGTAAGACAAACAATAAGGACATCCCATTGTCTTAGACAGTATGCTAAAAGTTGTTTTCACTATTTCTTTTTCCTCAAAGAAAATGTCGGTGTAGATGTAAGTGATTACACTTCACTTTAAATTTCAGCTCTCAAGAAATAGCCTGAAAATCACTGTCAGAGTACTTCTGACAAGGAGTGCTTAGGTCCAACACCTCTGAAGAGAGAGAATTACATATGTCTGCTTTTCTAAAAAGGAAAAAAAAATGCTGCAGAGATGCAGTAAGAAGCTCATGAAGCTTAACAGCAAACATTACTAAAGGTACAAGAAATAAAAAATTTTAAAAGTTTAGAAAGGAAATAAATAGGACAGACAAGTAACACTGCTTTTGCAGACTCTAGTGAATTGTTTCTCTAATGAAGACAAATTAGAAACATTTCTATTATGCAAACTGACACTAAAGTTTATGGTTGGGGAAGCCAGGGATTTCCTACAGTATTCCTAATAGCTGGACAACTAAACTACTTCACTGTTTACTTTATGATGCCACATTCATGATATGGCATAGCCTAAACATTTTCTTAAAAGTAAATAAGCCTTAATGAGTTAACCACATGCATGCACAAAAATCCTGCTACCTGCCAACAACCTCAGGCTCCACATTTTTTAATCATGAAATAGTTACTCCTGCCATTACATAAATATTATTACATAATATCTCCTTTGTATGCAGAATTAGAGCTACAATAAAATCGGTCCCACTATTTCAATGTTGTATCTATTAATCCCACTCATTCACTTAATAATTTGGAGCTGTAGTTTCATCAGAACACATCTTGAATATGTCACATTCCTCTGTGCTTAAACAGAGAAGACAGTTAATTCTGGATTAAAAAAAAAAACAAGCCGACAAAAAATACAACAAAGTAACTGCTCTACTATAATAACTGCCTGAAGGGAAAGACATCTCTGCTATGCTCTTTTATTACATGTTTTTTGTCATGCATAAGATTTATTGTATGTGCATCAATAGATAATTTTCACCACACCAGTCAATAAAATATGTAGAAATACCTTAATTCCCAAGGTCAGCATTACACAGCCTAAGTGTAGAGATCACAAGCAATGATGCTTACTATGTCGACTATCTCAAAAGCCCAGGGTTTTTCCAATTTAATATTTTAACGTATGGGCAAACTACAATACATATAAAATTAATTTTCCTAAGTATTTACTTTGTTAGAAATTTGTTCTGAGAATGTATTTGTTTGTATTGGTCAGAAACACATCTGAGACGCGGGACGGCTGTAAGCACAAGGCCACACGGCGAAGAGGCAGTGAAGTGGCATGTGACATTCGGGAGTCTCGGGGGGCAACATGTGGCCGGCGCTCAGGACGCTCCTCTCTGCAGTGCAGCACCGGTGCCTCCGGCCGTGCGCGATCCGTGCCGCGACACGAGCCCGCACTTCCCAAGTGCCGCACAAGTCCCGCTTGTGCCCGCGCTCAGCGGCTTCCCCTTGTCCGCTCGCCCTCTCGCAGCGAGAGCTCCCGGGAAGGGCAGGAGAGCGGCGGTGGGCACCGGGAGCGAGGGCGGCACGGGCCGCTCCCGGTGTTTGCACAGCCGCGCAGCTCTCCCGGGGCAGCCCCGCACAAAGCCCCGGCGGCCCCGCAGCCCCCGCCGCCAGCGGGCGGGCGCGGTGCGCCGCCTGGGGCAGGTCCCCGCTCCTCGCCGCTGCCCTGCCGCCGCCGCGGCCGCCGCTGGCAGGTGAGACGCGCCGCAGCAGCGGCGCCGGGCGCGGAGAGGGGGGGCGCGACCCAGCCACAAAGAGCGGGAGCGGAGTGGGCGGCGGCGGGGCCGGCGCCAGCGCGACCCGCGGCGCCGCAGCGGGGGGACGTCCCCTCCCGCCCGTCGGTGGCGGCGGCGGAGGTCATCCCTTACCTGCAGGGGTGGCGCCGAAGACTCTCACGACGGGCACCCGTTTGGCCGGGGCCTCTCGGAAGCGGGACTGGCAGGGGTCCAGGCCGGGCAGCGGGCTGCCCATGTAGTAGTCGGCAGTCACGATCCGCACTGAGAACATGTTTGTTCGCCGCCGCCGAGGCACCAGCACAGCACCGAGCGAGCGCGGAGCGAGCGCGGAGCCCGCACGGCTCCCCCCGCCCGCCGCCGCCGCTGCTGCCGCCGCAGCGAGCGCGCGCGCGAGCGCAGCACTCCCCGCGCCTGCCGCTCCTCGCCCGCCCGCGGGAGCGCGCGCAGCCCCGCGCGCGCCTTGTCTGTGTCTCTGCTCCCCCCGCCCGATGCCGCCGCCGCTCTGGGCGCGTGCGCGGCGGCGCGCCCCCCGCGCGCTCCTACAGCCCGTGCGGCCGCGCGCCCCTCAGGGACAGCGCGGGCTCGTGCCCCGCGGACGCCCCGGCGGCGACGGCGGCGCCCCGGCCCCGGGCTGCAGCTGCTGTTGCCATGATGATGTCGTCACGGATGCAACCACTGGGAGGATGGGGACGGGGGCGGACGGGCCATGCGTTGGAGGGGAAAGGGGCTCAACGAGCGGAGGAGGTGTCCGTCACTCCCCGACACACACGCGCGCTCCCCCGCTCCCACCTTTCAGTTGGGCTCGGCAGGCTGCGCGCGAGCGCGCGTGGGAGCGGGGGGAAAAATATCTTTGTATCGCCTCCCCTGGTGGGGAGGGAGGAGGCAGGGAGGGAGAGAGGGACGGCCTCGGTGATTCGGCGATCGGCCGCGCGGGCTGGGGGTGAGGCTGCGGAATCCCGAGCCGCGGATGGGGCGGGAGAGGCAGCGCCGCCGGAACACGACGGGGTTAAGCTGGGTCGACCGCCATTTTGAATGGCGGGGAGGTGAGTCTCCCCACGCCGCAGGGGCCAGCCAAAAAGAAAAAAAACACCTTAAGAAGATGAGGGCGAGGACGGGGACGGGACCGGGCGGAGGGGATGGAGCGCCCGCTCGCCCGCAGGTTGTGAGGGTGAGCGCGCGCGGCGCGGAGGGGGCGGGGCCGGCGCTGCGGAGGGCCGGCGGCGATTGGCGGCGGGGCCGCGCGCGCGGAGGGGGCGGGGCGGGGCCGGGCGCGCTGCGGCGGAGCGGCGGGGGCGGGGTCGCGTCCCCGCGGGCGGCTCGGCCCCGCAGCGGCCGCGTCCCCCCCTTGCTGCTGCTGCCCCTGCTCCTCTGCCTCCTCCTCCGCCCTTTATGAGAGCTTACTTTGCGGTTTGCAGCGCTCTCGTGCAGGTTTTTATTGAAAACCATGGCTGAGGCAGTGAAAAAACCTTGAGTTTAGGTTTAAGGTTCCTGTTGCAGTCTCTGTCTGAGAGCTGCAGATCCGGGGGTAAAAACCCCCAAACATAGCAAATATCCAGAGAGTTTGTGGAGTGGAAGATGAGCCAATTAAAAGGCCAAATGCTCTCAAACGCACTCAGAGTGGTGCTGATACATGTGCGTGCAGGACTGGATGATACGAGACAAATGTGCAAATCTATAAAACCTGACAAACGTCCAATATGTAGAACACGTGTTTTGCATTTGCTTACATGTGTTTCGGGTTTAGATTTGAACAAAAGACAGGTCAGGCAGTTGCTACCCTTCATTTTTTCATTGTAATGAACAGGAAGCTTGCCTGTCTACTCAAGGGTAACTGGTTTCCTACTCTTTCTTTGTAAGCTGTTTATTTTCTCTAGCTCACATCTGTTTTCCTCCTTAAACTCATTTTTATGTGAACAGAAAAAGAAAATCCAACTACCTAGTCATCAAGAAATCTTGTGTCAGAGAAGTGGTTGAAATAGGGTTAAAATCCAAACTATTTCCAATGTATCTAAAGAATAACTGAGCTACAACTTCAATTTTTGACAATGGTTTACATCTGCAAAGCTAATATTTGAAAAACCTTTGGAACTGCAAAAATATCCTTATGAATACTTAGATTTCACAAAGGCGGATAGATCACTAGGAGCTTACTGGTGGGGCATGTTAACAAACAGCATCTCTAACTATTGTTATTTGAATACATTTTGTACTGCTCCCTCACTAATCCAGTTCCTTAATTTTCCGTAGAACTTTGGTAGGGACAGTAACAGTTCTTGTGTTACTCCATTCCATGCTCTGTTTTCTTTCTGTTCACATGATCTTCTTAACTTGCTGAGCAATGTGTCTTCCCACCACTGTGCATTTCACAGACAGTTTAATGTCTTTGAACACTGGCAGATGTGGTCTGATGCCTGCATGAGCTGAAGGTAAATCAGCAGTCCTCCTCTGTGCTGGGGGGTACCAGTCCACTGCTGTATTCTGTTGTCATCTGCACAGGCAGGAGAACATGATGTTGTATCTGTCCCTCCACTGGGCTGGTGGATAAACCAAAACATTTGAGCCACCCGTGGATTCTGGTTTCTCCTAAATGAGTGTGGTATGTGAGATGTAGCACAAGTTCATACCTGGGAGTCCTGCTGAAGAGAAACAGTTGCCCACAGTAAAATAGTGTAGAAAGCTGAAATAACTAACTTCTTGGAAGCATAAAGCAGGATTTGCTTAAGCATGTAATGCAGAGTCTTCTATTTAAAATTACAACATTTTTTATGTTGTTTATTAAATCAGGGAGAACCGTGCTTTGAAATCAGAAAGAAAAATTGATACCTAACCTAGAGCCAGTTTCTTGTTCATATGAGGTATTAATTTGATTTCTGAAAATGTTGAATGTTACTCAGAAAAAAAAAAAAAAAAAGAAAGTGACTTTCCTTTTTGATATGAATAGTGTAATCCACATGTACATTAGACCTGTGCAGACACTTTTGTGGAACTTGCATGCTTTCTGAGTGGTGCCTTTTCAGTTTCCCTAGTTTCCTGCAGCTCACTTCTGCTTTCAGTTTTGTCTTGCAGTCAAGTCAGTAGGTTTGTCTGCAGGGTTGCACCAAGGTAAGACTGTATTTTCAGTAAAGGTTTGAGTCAGCGCTGTCACAGGAGGTCCCCTGCCCTCCTCCTCATGTCAGTGCAAGCATTTGAAAAGCTGCACAAGAAACTTGACTTGGAAACTGAGCCAGATAAAAGCAATCCCACTAAGAAATATGGGTTAGTTTTAACCTCAATCAGGTCCTTGATCTGCTTCATTATGTAGGGGTGTGAAAGCCTGTGCTTGCACAGAGGAGGAGGCAGTGCAGGGACTGAGATTGAGCAGCAGAAATAAAGAGAGCACTTCTTCCAGAAAGCTTGGTTTGTGGTAGTTTTAAGTTGTTGAAGTCTGAAAATTGGTTTAACCCTTCAATAGATGACAGACACAAAATCTCTTTCTGGGTTTCCTACATTTCAATTTGTGTGTCAGTATTTGTTTTTAGGAGTTGTTTTATTTGTTGGTCGCTCACACGTGTGTATGCATATATGATATATAAATTTTCTTGTAGTTTACACTTCATTACCTGAAAATGCTTCTTGCCTAGGGTGTCAGTAATTGTAAAAGGAAACATCCTCGTAAACAGCACTACCATTCATTTTCTCTGGTATCTCCAAACACTGTATGTTCTCTCTCTTAAGGTTTCAAGCCATTTTCTGTTATAAAGCAAGTCACCCCCTTTCTCTGTTCCTCCAGTTGCTAAGCAGCAGCTGTTCTCCCCATTAGCCAGCCAAGTATTTGCATGAAAATAATCACTCTTGAATATATAACTGGTCCTAATCATGCACAGCTAAACAGCTGTACAATCAAAATTTGAGTATTAATAGTATTATTTATCAGCATAACTGATGGCTGTCTTTTAAGTCATAATTTCTCCACAGAGTAAAATCAATAAAGCTTTGCCCTGTTTTCTAAAACAAAAGACATGTCAGTTTTTATTTTTGTTTAATGCTTACTTTGTAGCTACTTAAAAAAACTGGTCACAAAATGATATCTGCAGTTCACAAAAAATTATAAATGCACATAGAAACAGACACACGTAGTGACTACACATGATGGAGGCCAAAGGAAAATCCACATTTTCAAATATCTATTTTATAGTAGCCGAGTGCAACAAAATTTGATGATAAGAGTTTAGACTATACACAAAGGTAAAATTTCCAGCAGTACATCTTAACTTCAAAACCCACTTTGTCAGTCATGTTTGAGTTCCTGTTGATTTCAAGGATGTTCAGTATTTCTGAGGTCTGTGATCTGAAATCTTGGAGTCAGGGGCCTCTCAGTCAGGGGATTTATCCAAGCTGTTATTTCAGAATGAGAGCTGAGTTGGGCTCATGTTCTTGGGTGCTGTTTTTTGCAGGTGACATAAACACAGTTTCTGCAGGGAGAAAACCTGGACACATGGATAAAGAGTGATATGTGATTCATCCAGTTGGTATCCCAGCCTAGACAGTCAGACTGTTTGCATTATACAGGAAGGTTATTTTCCAGTGTGGCCCCACTGCCTAAGTGAATGAAGAAGATCTAAATCTTCATGCTGAAATATGTGGTGCTGTGCTGTATAGTTCTGCCCTGCCAGATGCATAGTTGTTTTATCATGTGTGACAGTCCATAGTCTTTTTAGACTCTGAGGCTCTGTATGCACCCAGTGCAAGAAATCCTCATTTCAGGGTTCTGACAAGCCTTGCTTACACTCCAGGTAGTTAAACCCACTAAAGCCAAAATATGAAGCAATACCATCATGTGCATCAGACCAACTGAAAGTCAGTTACTCTCTGGATATTACCGGATATAAATCTAAAGACAGTGTATGAACAGCAAGGAATTAAGCAACCTGTGAATACCAGACTGCCTCAAAGTGGCTCTTAGGCTGCTGAATTAATTTGTAGGGGTAACAGTATTTTGGAAAGAATGCTTAAGATCCTAATTAATGACATGTATTTGTTTGGTTTAATTCTCAGTCACTAGCTACAGGCTAGGCAGTAGGCTCTGAGGTGTAGTCAGTGGGATTATTATCAGTGTCTTGTCCCTAGAAACCTGATGAGACAATGAAACTAGGTCTCAATTATGAAAATATTAGAAGTATCAAAAAAGTCTTTTAGCAAAGACTCTTAATAAACCTCTCAGGGCAAGAACAGCAAGAACAGTGCCATGTGATTGGAAAATCACAAATGTGCTTGAATGAGAGTCCATGGGCATTGTATGGGACATAGGAAATTAATTATGACATACGACATGCAAAGGCATAGGAGTAAAAAGAAGAGATATATCTTTGGTGTAGTAACATTAAATTCTGTTTGGGTAACTGTGTATTTTTAAAATAAAATAATTCTTTTCCAAAATTAAATAAATTTCACAAAATCATCAAGACTGAAAGAGACCTTCAAGATCAGCCAGTCCAACTGTCATCCAAGCACCACCATAATCAGATTTAATCTGTGCTTCATATAAAGATTCAGTATAGTGTCATATGAGAAAAAAGGAAGATGCATAGCATAAAGAATCGCTGATGAGAAGTTCTGGTGGATTGTTTAGAGAGAGGGACTATAAAACTGGAAGTTGGCTCCAGGTGGAGTCTGCCCATTTAATGCCTTTAGGAGAGGCCTAGTTAGCATATAAATAGAAGTTGCTAATAACCTTAAATTTGAAGGAGAACAGCATATCAAATAAGATCTAAAACTTTGGAGTTAAGAAAGAAGAAAAAAATATTTAAGCCAAAGAACACTCTCAATGTAGAATGATTAGACATAAACTGGGAATGAACTTTCCATGAAAGAAAGTTTCTATCCAATGGACAGATGGATTTGTTCTCTCAGTGAAAGCAGCAGGGCAGAGCATATTTGTAAATTTTACTATGGAGATTGATGTGATTATGGAAAAGGTTATATGATGTTTGCTGGTTATTGCACATGACTGCACCTGATTATCAAAATTCTAGAAGGACTGCATGTATATCCCTGAACATTTCAATAAAGGGTTCCTCTAATCAATGCAGACACTTAAGCCATTAGGATAAACGAGTTCTCATCCTCATTGTACAAAACACATTGTGTACCATGAAGATGGTACAGCTTTCTGTTTCAGAAAATCTGGACAGCAGTGTAAAAGACAACCCTTCCAACATATGTTGTGGCCTCATGTATATGTTACTATCTGTAAATGAGTTGTATGTACAAACTCATATATATAATCTTTATATGAAAATGCAAACTACCTTTGACTATTTTTGTTTCCTGTTTCCATTTAGCAATTTATATTTCAAATGGTTTTCATTGAAAGTTATCCTTTTCTTTGTTGTTTTTTTAATAATTTTTTTTCTAATATTTTCAGGTCTTGCCATTGCCCTGTATCAGAAAACCCTGCTGCTGAATGTGCCTACAGGAAAATGCATAAGTATTCAAGAAAATTATATAAATTTAAGCATAAACATTAATAAAGAAATAATGTGTAATAATGTAGGACTATGCCACTTTTTGAAAAAATTGAGAAAGTATAGTTAATTGAGAAGCAGCATATGCATCATGTAAGAAGAGGCCCAGTAAACACTTAATTGTAAAGATGAGATTCCTGATCTGCTCTTAGCTGACAGAATTCTATATGTCAAGAAGTGATTGAGGTTCCCTTCCATGCTTGGAAAATGACCTGTTGTTAAGAATGAAATAATTACAGGATTGCATAAGGAATTCACTTTAGTGTAACAAGAACATACATTGTTGAGAAGCAGTTAACAGTATAGCAGTAAGTGGCGTTTAGAGATTGCATATATGACAGTGAGAATTTCATAGATGAAATTTAATTAAGATGAACTGATTAAGTCTTAGATAATTGAGGGATAGTGCTAGAGTTGTTTGCATTGCTGAACCAGCGTAATTTAAAGACCTTTTGCCTATTGCTTTGTACTGATGACTGTATAAGTGGGGAATGGACTCAAAAGAGAAAACAGTGTGTAATGACATATAACATTTGAGCATTACTACTATTTTGGGAAATGGTATGTTCAACAGAGTATACAAAGAAAAGTGGTTGAACATTTGAATAGCTTAAAAAAAAAAAAATCAAAGTAATAGGTTTATTTTTACAGGAAGAGCTACCAATCCCTCCATACTCTGAAATTTCTGTTCCACACAATGCAGCTCAGGTATATGATTGTAAGAATTGCTTTTAAACAGGCAAGTGAAACATAATTTTTCATATTCTAGTTTTTATGAATATCTGAAGCATTTAGTTGAAAGTCTCCATTGAGAAATACGTCTGGTGTGAAAACAGTTAGCCCAAATGGTTCAAATAATAAGTAATTAGAAGGATGTCATAATGGAAAATTTTCAAGTACTATAACTGCCAAAAGCCCTATCATTCTTCTATAACTTCTGTAGCCAAATACACATGAGTATGTGGTTATTATTTGAATTTTTGTTGTTTTAAAATGGGAAATGGGTTTCTGTGAATGAATCACAGAAATGGGTTTGGATGGTAAGGAGTGAAAGCCATTTAATTTTAGATGCTCCGTTTTTTTCTGCCATGTAGTCTGACTTATGGGAGGCATTCCTTGTTCATGCATCAGACAAAGTGAAAGAAGCCCCAGCACATATGTAGATCACAAACAGCCATCTGTTTCTCAGAAGGAAAGAGGAGTGTTGCTATAAGAGTAAACTTAAAATGTTTTAAGATTAGCTTAGAGATGGCAGAGCTCCATTAAATATTTTGTCCATCTCTGTTGGTCGCTGTCATATATGAATGTATACATTATACTGAAGCTTCAGATGCCTGCTATATTTTTTTCTGTTAGGACAATTACCTCTAGTTTAGAACTCAGTATATGCTTTCTCTGAGTTCCTAAATAAGTATATATATAAGTTTTTATCACCTCAATTATTTTTCCTTCTTGGGGTTTATTCCTTTGAAGTAATTTTCCTGATCAAACTGAATGTTAAGAAAAAAGAATTTTGAACTTTTTACTTGCTTAGCTTAAGCTAAGTAAAGTAACACTTGTTTAGGCTTGTAACATTTCCTTTTGATTCTTTCCAGGTCCTAAAGAATTTTTATTATTTTTATGTGAATTCCATCCAATTTGCATAGATCTTTCTTGTAATATGCCTAGAACACTGTTGTGATTTCCAGACGTGGTTGTAAAGAGTGTGGATGAAGCATTTATATTTTATGTCCAGGCAACCATATGACCTCCATTTGTAGGGCAGAATTAATTACTTGGGAGTATTGATGTTTGGTCCACCACGAGGTTTGAAGGACTATGTTGGCTGTCCACAAATAAAGTGCTGCACAGTCTGCTTACAGCCATGTTAGACAAACCATTACCGTCTTTACAACCTTCCTGCTCCAGGATACACTGCTTCCAAGTATGCAACCCAATTCTAAATTAGTCTCTTTGCTGGTACTCTTACCAATCTATTTGTAGTTTCTGCTTGCTTGTTATCCTTAGATCCTTTATAAATATGATGCCATCGCACTGAATATATTCCAGAATTTGTTCCAGAATATTTCTCTCAGTCTTTTCCATAGCAGTAGCTTGCTTTTTCTTGTAGTCAGTTTAATTTTACAGTTTTCTGTCTGCATTTTAGCCTCACCAATTTATGTTGAAGTATCTCAGTGTCCTCAGAGTTGCCCACATTGTAGCCTCTTGGGGATTAATGAAGCTGTCAAATAAAACAAGGCCTCACAATGGTTCCTGTGGCACCACAGCTGTAGATAAATTACTTCTTTTCTATATTATTATTATGTTATTTTAATATTGAGATATTCTTATTATTATTACTATGACAGTCTGCAGACCCCGTTAGCACACAGATCTACCTGGACAATTTGAATTTTGCAAATAAAATTAATTTTCCTACCAATGTATTGGTTATTTTATGTCTCAAAACATGAGGGAAGGTACCAGTGGATATGCAAAATGGGGAAAATTTATAGAGTAGATTTGCTAATCTAATACCATGTGCTAACTGAAATTAGGACAGATTGAAGGGCAAGGCACTTATTCTGTTTCCAGATTTTGGGGAGGAAAATCGTGTATGCTGTTTATGAACACGTAGTCGCGTACAGAAATGGGCCATGGCCTCTCTGGGAGCTGTGCATTAAGTGACTGGATTCTGTTATAATATGGTGCATGTTTCGTGCTGTGCCTTGAATAATCTTGCAGCTGTTTTACTTAGAAAATCAGTAACACTTGTTTTTGTCCAAAAGCAGGAACTTGATGACTTGGCTAATAAGATGAAACAACACTGCCCCCAAAATCTATGAAGTACCAAGTACTATTCCATATTCGAGCCTCTTCACACACTCCACCTCCACCTTCCTTTCCATGTGCTACTTTATATCCTATTTTATGGAGACAGTATTTTGTCCTGTTTTTCTGAGGACAGGATTGAGGCTTTTACCTGTTTCATTTTTAATCTCTAATAATTAACTGATGTGTTTGCATTAGGACAGTGGTCTTTTGAAAAAAAAGAAAAAGGTGAGTGAAATTACTAATACACAGGGGAAATAGGAAATTATTATGCCATAAAAATAACTTTGAAAAAGTCTCACATTGTTCAGAGAGGGAAGAGAACCTTCTAAGAAGTGATCACATTCTCCAACTCAGCTTTAGACACATTCTTTACCTTTAAAAGGAAACAGAAGATAATCAGTCAGTAAATCAAGTGTAGTTGTGGGCATGTCTGCAAAGCTGTAGCAACAGTCTGAATAAGGCATTATGGCTGGACATGTGAAACAAGAATTGTCAGTGCCAAGGTCTCTTGTGCTTTGAGGATAATGGGTATGTCTTTCATTAAACAATACCTTTTCTCCATACCCTGATTTTTTTTTCTTGATCATTGTCTAAAGATAGCAGCTATGGTGGCTATTCTGGGTAGATCTTTAGGTCATTTAAAATCAGACTGTATTTTTGTGCTGTAATGAATAAATTTTAAATGCATTCTAAGTTTTTTTTTTTTTTTCAATATCTATTTGTTTGAAGAGGAAATTTGATTTCTTATGAAAAATGTCCACCTTTACTTAGTTGCTGTTGGAGTGGAAAAAAGCATGTTTCAAGACCGCATGTTTTAGCTGCCACTGTTTTTTGTGATCAAGCTTTCAATACCAGTAATCTGAGTTTCCCCTCTCTTGTTCCAGCCAAGGTTACTAGTCAGTTCCCTAGTTTCCCTTTTTTCTTACTGGCACAGAATTGCTTTTTTTTAAAAGTACTTCAGAAATTACTTCTTTTAAACAAAGGAATCTACAGTATTCAAGCTTATCCTGATTAGCTTTAATCTTTTATCACAATTTGAAGTATTAGCATTTTTTAAATTAAATAGTTCAGTTAGAAGTAAATTCCACTCAGATAAAGGGAAAATACAGCAGTTGTTGCCAAAGGGATAAAGTCCATTACTTGGAAACATAAACAGCTTTATTTCTTGTGTTCTGACAGAAAATGAGATGAACGAGCCTGTTACAGGCACAACTTTTCAGTAAATACTGTATTGATGTTAGCATAATATATATGTTCTTAAGAACCCAAAACTTTTAAAGTTTATTTTAATTTAATAATTTATAAAATTATAACACTGCTACTTCCAAGGCTTAAAAATTCAAGATTTTTTGGTGTGAACTGTAGCATTAGAGTAGAATTCATAATTTCCTCCTTTTGATGCTTTTTAATGTTATATTGCAACTATACTGGGAAATGAAAAAGGGCTGCTGAGACCACTGCATCACCCTGCCTTCTAGTGCTGTCCCTGACCACTGTGGGAATGCTGCTTTGGAGGGCTCTTGCTCTTATGGTCCTAAACTGCCCCCCAGCACACTGGCCAGTGACAAGCAGGTATTCAGGTTTGTTCCTTGGGACCATTTTAATAAATCAGGTTTTTTAAGTGTGCCAGTTTGCCAAATTCAGGAAAAGACCTTTAGCATTATTCAGTTTCATTGATTGATTTATTTTCCATGTGTTTCGAACAGAACCACAGAATGGTTTGTCTTAGAGGGCACTGCAAACATCATCTAGTTCCAAACCTTCAGCCAAGGACAGGGACACCTTCTACTAGGCCAGCATGCTCAAACACCCATCCAGCCTGGCTTTGGAATGCATTAATAACTATTCGAAACATCCAAATAAGTGAGTAATAAGGACCCCTGCCTACAGGTCCTTTGTTCCTGCACACAGTACTGTGTATGTAAGGTATCTAATTATTGTCCAATGAAAAAAACATCAGCAGGCCTAGGAAATTAAAATTCCTTATTCTTTTTGTCCTCTAAGTCTTCTAGTCATCAGCAATGATTGGCAAAAATCCCAAACTGGAGGTAAGAGATTCTTTACGTGCAACCACCTGGTGATTGAAGGATTCTCCTCATCATGTGCCAGGCCTGTGAGACAGGAGAAGTTGGCTTGGTGTCCTTCAAATGGAAAGCATAGAATCCAGTCTGCTGTTGCCTCTTCAGCTACTGTTGGGTAATGCACTGTCCTAACCACTCTGCTGCTACATAAAACTATGCAACAAGGTATATGTCCCAAAGAAGGGGGAGATAGCCTCTGCCAAAGACTTAGTTCTAGAAAAGCTTCTGCAGCGGGTGCAAATTTGTGCCTGAAGACTGATCTAAGTTTTGCCAAGGAGAGAGACAGACTGAACAGCAATAAATGTTCTGTAACCTGTTGTCTAGGCTACTGTAAATATGTCTCTGGTTCAAGCTGTGTCCTGGTTTGAAAAGCAAAACCAGTGAGAGGCTCTCAGTCAGAAATGCAATTTATTAGGAAAAGGAAACAAAGAACCAAATATATACAACAGCACAAAAGAAGGACCACTGACAGAGTTAGAGATACAACCTGACACTTGCTGGCTAGGGCGGTGGTAGCAGATATGGTTCTGTCCAAGCAGTGGTCCTGTAGACTGATGTAGTTTCCCTCTGGAGGTCCAGTGTAGAGGAGGTCTGAGCTGTTCCTCTTGGAAGAGGGGCTCTACTTGCTATTCTTATGGCATCGTTTGGCTCCTCCCTCTGGGCGGAGCATCTCACAATAGAATGCTGTGATCTTATCAGTCATGTGGCTAAAAGAGCAGGTCCTCCTGGAGGGACTTATCTCTGAGTAACAATGATAAGGAAAGAAATGGATTGCAGCTTGAGGTGGTAATAGAATACACCCCAATATTATAACCTAGGACAAGCTGTTAAGAAGACAGGAGTGGTGGTGCATTACTGTCACCAGGTACTGCTATTGGAAGACTAAACTCTCTAAGTTCCATACATTCACCCACCCCATCAGGTGGGCACCGTGGCACCCAGTGGGAATAGCCAGGTTCTACACACCATTTGTGTTGGTCATAAATGGCTGCACAAAGGACAAAGTTCTAAAGAATTGGGACACGAGGTTTAGTATCTAATTAGGCCTCTAATCCTACAAGCCACTTACAGTTTTGCATTATTGTATGTTCGTTGTGTCTTAAATGGAACTACTCATTTGAGTGAAGTTATGGGTGTAAATGCATGCAGGATCGGATCTGGGCAATCACATTTTGGCTTATTATTTGTACCGTAGCAGTGTTGCAAATCAGGTATCTCTGATGTTATCCCTTCCCCAGACAGAGTGAAGGGGTATCTGAAACTGAATATGTTTCTGTGAAATGGCTTGCACTCCATTACTGTACCTGTCCAAACCAAACACTTACACAAAGACACATCATAGAAAGCATTTCAACTGTTAAGAGAGTCATGAGGCATAGATTTTCAATGCAAAAGGTCATGAGGCTGCAGTTTCACTGGGTAATGTGCTGCATTTGCATAGACACATATTCAGACAGTTAATGGTAGTGCAGAATGCTTTAATGATTTTAATTTCCATCAAGCTGTTCTCACCTCTTAGGAACATAATGGATAAATAAAAGAGGCCTTTTGTTTGCGCTTCATGAAAGTTACCAGTGATTAAGTGGTGCTGAGGGAACAGACTCATGCTCTCATTTGAAAAAGAAAATCAAAACCAACAACAAAACTGCCCATCAAAACTGACTTCAAAGTGACCTACTTAATTTGGATTTAAAATGGCACTTGAGTAATTCATTTTAATGTTATGCAGATTTCCTAATTCACAACAGAGAAATGGTCACTGTTAACTGAAAATACAGAAATAGTTACATCAGTTGCAAAATACTCATAATTTGTTAGGGTACTCCTTATAGTGTTGAATTACAAAGAAAGCTACATACACTTAGATCAGGTTTTCTTCCAAGTGGATTCAGCAGTCACATTTTTTATGAAAAAAATTTGTCCAGAATAGTTGTGAGCAATGTGATACTTTTTGCAGTATGCTGTGGTGTTTCATGAGAAAATCCGTGCCAGAAGCTTGCTAGAGAAAATCTTGTAATGATTCCATAGAGGGTCTCCCTGTGACAAACTTCTCCACACCCTCCTGGAATATAAAGGCCTACAGACTTTCAAACTATGTCCTGGACTCTTGCAACTCAGTATCAGTTTCTTCTTGAAAAGGGCTTAAAGTAAGTTATATTAGTCTCTGGCTCTGTTAGTTTTTAGGTATTTTCTGAAGGATTTCAGGTGCAGTTCATTCTCTCAGGAAAAAAATCTGAGTGGCTTTTTGAGAATAAAACTCTATTCTTAAATACCTTTTTCTCAGAATAGTCATGCTTAAATTTTTGTTCCTAATTTGTAAGCACACAAATCGTGATTTCATCACCCCAATTTGCACATTGGTGCCTTGGTATCAATATTTTTAAATTATATTTTTCCTAATGTGTTAGAGTTTCAACTTTATGTGTAACACTGAGAAGCTCAGCCAAGACACTCCACGTCCCAAATATCCAAATTTCAGTAATCTCCACTCAGGATACAAGGGTTCAATGTTTCTGAGAGTTG